TTGAAATATTGAATAATGTATTGATTGAAAGATGTAATCTATCGAGATGCTTGATGAGATGCCTAGCTACATGCTTGGAAGTCCTTGAATCTTTATATCCTCATTTTCATACAACCTAGCCCAAACCATATTACAATCCTTTACATTGACTGTTTTAATCCCAAGTATGATTGTGGTAAGAAAGTGATGAATTCTCATTTGACAGTATGCCTGTCATAAGATCAATATCTTATTGTTGCTTATTCATAAACATTTAAGCCTCCGTTTATGAGTGTATACCCTTTCTCGGCTCTATAGAGAGAAAACCACACTAAATACTTTGATACCTGTAAGTTGTGGAGCTGAACCTTCAGCTTGAGACATACTTGATGTTGCATGTGTTAAGGTTGGCGATAAGATGGCTATGGTTTGACACACACTCACACATTTAACAAGTGTTTTTGATATCTTGATGATCATGGCATTGTTAAGTTCTTGTGGTGTTAAGTTCGAAAAGAGCATGAATTGCAGTTAAGTTGGAACGTAATAATTTCATTTGTATCAGGGACCAATCACTCATTTGCTAGTTATGCATTAAATTGCTAGGAATTAGCAATAAGCAAGTTAGGGGTGTGATAAGAGTGTAAAATATGATATTTTTTCCTCTTAATTGTTGCATTCTAGATTATTTGATGTCAAAATACACTCATTACTCTTATGTTTTGATCTAGGTTGAAATTTGATGAAAAATGTGAAATTTGGAAGAAATAAGTAAAAAGGGCCAAAATGGAAGAAAGTGAAAGTTTAGGGACCAAGTTGCAAATAATCCATAATAAGACGGGTGATGGAATAATTATTCAAGAAAGCTAGGAATCAATTGAGTGTAATTTGAAGTCAAAAGAAGTGAAGTATGACCATAACATCTTCACAAATTAATTCCCAATTGAAAAAGTTATGCACCGATTTTCAATCTCATGTTAAGACTCATTTTTGACGTGGAAAATGATCGAGTTGGAAGATGATTTCTGAAGAAAAGTTGTAACCCTTCAAATTAGCTTTCCAACACAATTTGAATCACCTCAAGTGGACATTGAGAAAAAAAGTTATGGTCAAAATACTAAAAACTATCCGGCGAAAAAAAAAATTCAACTATGCGGTCGCATAGTTCAAAAAAAATGCGATTGCATAGAAGGGTCCATAGAACTTTTGGGCGCCACACATTTGTTCTATGCGATGCATGGCTTATAACCATGTGGTCGCATAGTTATTCTTCAAGACCAAATTTGTCAAATTCATAAATTGACGACATTACTTTTGGAAACACGTTTTGACATGTTTCTTAAGCCCAAAAACACTCCAGAGCATGGGGGATTGAACCTGGACTTCATTTCTCTCTTATCTTTGGCCAAGAAACTCCATGAAAGGCTAAGAAAAACTTTGGTGAAGCAAGGGATGACTCGATTGGTGCTGATAAATGTCAATGTCTCTTCATGCATGTAATTTGGTTTTTCATTGATAAACAATTCTAGGTTTATGATTTCCTGTTTATTAAATATGTTTTGAAATTGGTTTAATATGTATTAGATTTTCATGAATTTAATGATGTGCTTTTTATCGAATAATTGAAGTATGTTTTGAATTCCAATTTCAATCATCTCGTTGGTGTGATTCGCTAATATTATATGCTTGATGTATGTAACTGATTTTGAATTTAATTCCAATGAATTAAAGTGAAAATATCTTGTAGGAAATCTAAATTCTAGAGTTATAAGTAAAATTCAATTGATTTAGGTCTCGACTTCAAGCATTGTTGTGAGATTGATTTAACTGTTACTATATTTCTTATAGACTCAATCATGTTTTGTCTATAATGAAATTAACTATTTGTTGAATTTCAATTTCATACCATTTTATTGGTGATTTGATTACTGCATTATACTTGAGGTATATTGTCGTTTCTCAATGTGATTTGAATGAGTGATTCACATTGATTAATCCGAACCAATCGAGGGAATCCCTACTCTTCATTATTTCACACATTGATTCAAATTTCGTTACTTCATTCATTGATAGTTACATTTCATTCAAACTGATAAATTCCTTACATAAAGCACGAAGAAAACTCTAAGCTTTTGATTCTTTTACAAATATTCCATCTCCCTGTGGATACGACAACCCAAAGCCATACTACAACTAACGCGTTATACTTTGGGCGTAATCATCACCATACTTTAACTCGTGAAATCAGCTACTTACTTCACAAGTAAGAATGGTCTATCCATAATAACGATATCAATATTTCGTTATTACTTACGACCATGAATGATTTAAGATTCGTCATATGTAATTTGTATCTCACAATCACAACTCCTTGTGATTAAGAAATTAATAAAACTTGAATCTATGGACTCTATTATTTAATTTAATTAAGTATTAATTAAATAATAGATCTGACATAAAATTGCATCTATTATATATCAAAGTATTTGTGTCAAAAGTTGATTGGACCTAGAGCATGATACTTACATTGACAACATCACTATATGGACTGAATTGGTTTAGAAGTTCAAAATGACATACTTTCCTATAGCAAAGCTCAAACATGACATCTCCACCTTCTAGCATCTGGATTCAGAAAGCTTTCGTGAGACTTAGAAAAGGTTTAAAGAACTAATGGTTAGCCCGTCCATTCCAAGAGTAGAGGACTCGGCTCAAGAAGTGCTTGAACTACAATATCTCAAAAGATTTGCTAATCATTACTTCTATTTTGAGTTACTTCCATCCACGTGATCTGTAGTTGATTCAACTTCCAGTGGATGAATAAAAATGAATTATTTGAGAAGTGTACAAATTATTTGAAATAATGAGAGAGTATGGTGCAATATGGCCAGACAGGAGATCATAGAATGTGTATACCATTCTTATGGCAAAAATTGATTCATTGGCAAAGAAGGTGAATGAGTCGTATAATACTAAAAAATCGATAAACATGGTGCAAGCTCCACTTCTAATCTACATTGATTGTGGGGCAAATCATTTGATACTTGAATGCCTATTATCACCTATTCAACACAAGTTGCTTATGCTCAAAACTTCCAATGCCAACAGAATAATTCTTACTCTCAAACATTAATTTGGGCTGGAAGAATCATCGTAAATCCTCCTACAACAATAAGCAATATACTCAGAATTCACCACATAAAGACGTGGCCTAGTCGGCAAATCATCATGCTTATTACATATAGAAAATGATGCCACCTTGCAAAGTAATACTGAATTTCCGAAAAATCTTGAGAATTAAATTGGAAAAATAGTTAAGATACGATGTACCCTTTCATGCAGCACTGAAATCAACCTAAGGGATTAAATGAATGCAGTTACTTTAAGGAACATGCCCAATATCCGATCATTCATCTAGAGAGATCAATTGCTACAAAATAATCGATACTTGATAAAGATCGAGTGGATCAGCTAAAGAAATACCTGCATAAGAAAAGTCAAGTACTCCATAGATTATGTGCCTTCGATTCCATTCCTGTAGAGGTTCAAGAAGTTTCATGTGGATAAGGAGTTCGAAAATTTTCTTGAATTTTTCAAGAAATTACAAAATGATACCCCTTTTGCCAAAGCTCTAGACCATATGCCACTTTATCACAAATTAATGAAGGAGATGTTGACTAAGAAAATGAAGATTATAGAATTAAAGATAGCGGCTTGTTAGAGACATTGACTTTAACTAAGAATTCTGAACTTCACTAAAGTATGTTAATTCGCTATGGTATTTGTCAAATACCTAGACAAATGGATCCTTTAGATTTCATAAATGTAATTTTGGAATTAATCAGAGGTTCCAGTTCTTTTCCTCATTTCCAAGTTAACATATTTTGCCCTAGAAAATTAAAAGAGAAATGCTAGTTGTATACCCTTTAGTGTACAACACGATTGTCAAAACTTAGCATTTTTCAAATTAAAATGAAGCAACACTAATCTACTTCTAGTAAACCAATTGATGTAAATTGTTGCATTTTAGTTAAATTGGAAAATGAAAATTATTAACATAAAAAATGGTTTAATGAATAAATCAAAGAGAATTTAATTACTTAAATAATTATAACTTAAAATTTTTTATAGTTAGACACTCCATTTGTAACAATTAGTAAATTTGGGAACTTCAATTGAAGAATTGAATTAAATCGAACCAAAATATTTCATTTTTTGAGATGCCCATTACCCACCCCCAATTGTCATATCAATAATGATACGCAAACAGGCTAAAAAAGAGGTACCGACACAATGATTGGATTGTTTGACCAAAAAAAAACAAACAAACAAACCACCAAACAAGTGCTGTCAAGTTAGTCTTTCCATTTTTGTCCTGTTTTTGAGCCCATTCAATTAGGGATGGCAATGGGTCGAGCCGGCTTTAACCCACGAGCTCGACTCGGACTCGTGGCGAGCTGAGCTCGTGGCTCGTGAAAGACGAACCGAGCTCAACTTGCCGTGAGCTCACAAGCCCGTGATTTTAAAATTTTTTTTTGGGTGTAAATTTGCATATTTTTTGACTTTTTTTTTATTTTAATTTTCATAATTTTTGACGAGCTCGTGGCCTCGACGAGTCGAGCAAGCTCGACTTGTGGGATTGAGCCCTCTGCTCGAACGAGCTCGAGCCGTCCATGAGCAGGGTTTTAACGAGCCGAGGGATCGAGTCGACGAACCGTTCGACCGGTTTGACATTCCTACGTTCGATCATACTACGAGCTGCGTTTTAAAGGGTCGACGAACCGCCCGACCCGTTTGACATCCCTATATTTGATTATCATTCTTGCTGTCATAACTATCGGATTTTAGTAGTGATGTTTGATAAACTTTATCAATAGAACGGTTGAGCATAGGTTAAAAAGAAACACCAAAGGGGTTATATTTGGAAAGTTAAGGGGTATGGACAAAAAAGTCAGGACAGACGGGCAAATCTTTCAACTCCTGACTACCAAAGCCGTCTGTGCAGAAAATTATTTTAGGAATACTATTTTATCGTTCTAACAAAGTGTACGTTCTGGTCATACTCAAGAAAAGAATACGCAAAAACGTTATCATCTCTTTCTCCAAGCCCAAACATTTTTCATTCTAAAAATAATCTCACTAAGTCGAAGAAAATTCATGTCTTCATCGTCATGTTCTTCTGTAATTCCTGGAATTCTCTCCAACAACAGAAATTTAACTTACACTCTCTCTCGCCGTAACTTCACGCGCCACTTAACGTCGCCGTGCAATGGCGGGAGGAAACTCGGGCTTCATTTGAAGAAGAAGAATAGCTTAATTGTCAGTGTAAAAGGAGAAGCGTTACAGTACAGAAAACTTGGGGATTCCGACCTTGTTATTAGCGAAATCACTCTGGGCACTGTAAGTATTCGAATAAAATTCTGTTAATTCTAATTATTATTATTGCCCGAGATTATGATCAAGAAGGGTTATAATATACTCAGTTGCTTGACTCATCACAGTAGTTTTATTGAAGGCTAGTTTTTATTGGGAATTCATATGCAGATGACATTTGGGGAGCAGAATACAGAGAAAGAGGCTCATGAATTGCTTAGTTACTCGTTTGAGAGCGGTATTAATGCTATAGACACTGCAGAAATGGTAAGTTGTCGAATCATTATGTGGATTTGGTAGCATAGAAGGGACTTGGATTCAGAGATGGAATGTGAAATTATTTATAATTCCAATAAGCCACAATTCCTTGCTGTGAAACATTGTTGTTAAAATTGTACACTCAGCACTTTCGCTTTCTTTAGATTATATAGAGACTTACTGGTCATTGAGATCCCATATTCATAATGCTGAAAATCTGTAACTGTTGCTCACTTGATGAGCTCGATTTCAAGTAATCAAGTTTGTCACTTCGTTCACTCTAGTCATGTGTTGGCACATGTTTGTGTATGGGAAGGGGATAATTTCTTGTATTTGCTTTTTGCAGTAAGAAACCTGGAACTTGTAATCAGGTTTCACAAAAACTTCCTTCAAACGTGAATGAAAGACTTCTAATTTAGTTTTGAGGCCTTAGTTCCCTACTAAAAATAATGCAAGAGCATAATTATTGTGTACTTAACAAGTTGCTAGTTTCATGTCCCACTATAAGTTTGGATCTACTAATATATTAGTTCTTTGTCCCATATGTGAACTTTGTGGTTAGTAGTTTCAGTGTTGAATGCTTCTATCAATTATGTCAGTGTGCTCCACTCAGTCTGAGGAGAAAGGGAAATTAACTTCTACCATTCGATAACTGGAGGGGAAGCGAAGAAAAATTACAGATTATTTGCAACAAACGTTATTTTTGCAATAAAACTTTTCTCTTGCATTTTTATCCGAATTATTTCTCTTGGTTGTTTTCAAAGACCCATTGGAAAGATAGCTTTCTATTTAATATGTGGAACTAAATAGATGTACTGTCTTCTCTAATTTACTTAGTTTTAGTTGTCAGACATGGTTTAAGTCAAGAGTCAAGTTTACATTTCTCATTTTCATGTTTCCTTTTTTTACTTTAAAAGTATCCAGTTCCAGTAAAAAAGGAGACACAAGGAAGGACAGATCTTTATATTGGTAGCTGGTTAAAGTCTCAACCTCGAGATAAGGTATTCTCAGCTATTTTATGACCAGCTCTGATGTCACTTTGTTCTTTTTTGAATGTAATAAATAGATTAAATCATTGATCAGATACTCTGTCATCTTTTTTTACTTTTCAGTTCCTGAGGTGACCTAAATTTTCTAATATTTTCCTCTAAAAGTTTTCTGCATTAACAGGCTTCATCTCAAATGCTGAGTGAATTGATAATTTAGAGAAATTTTGGAAGCGAATAATTTAAGTGGCCATTCTTTTAGTTCTGGAACCTGCTATTTGTTACTAAAATCTACATTGCAATAGTTTGATCAATGTTCACCATTAGCCGATAGTCCTCCTTTTACTTTCTGTTTCAGATATCAATGAACTTTACAACAGTATAAAATACACCATTGGTTTCCCATCACAGGGCTAAATGATACTCTGTTTATCTCATATGATTAATGAATTGTGTTTTTAATTTTCTGGATGGCTCAAAATAAAGTTCACCTTTTTAAAAATAGAGAATTCTACCTTTTATCAAACACATAATCCTTTAAGTCCCCAATTCTCTTTAGATGTTATGCTTTTTGTTCCCCTCTAAAATAACCGTGCCTTCCATGTAAAGCATTCATTTGAACCTAGCAAGAGTAAGTTTTATGATGGCTCCATTGATTTTACTGTATGATGAGTAAGCTCATTATTCAGGTTATCGTAACTTCAATTTAAATGTTCTCTCGTCCCGTTCTTCATTTTTAAGTTCATTTTCCTAATTCAAATGGCCTCTGAATCTTCTGCAAACTTTTCTCCAACAAGGTTATTTTGGCCACGAAAATTGCTGGTTACTCAGAGCAATCATCATACTTGCGAGATGATGCAAAGGTTGTGCGAGTTGATGCTGCTAATATACGGGAAAGTGTAGAGAAAAGTCTTAAACGTCTCAATACGGATTACATTGATTTACTCCAAATACATTGGTAAGTTTTTACTGTCACAAGCATTTCCGGACGCTAAAGAGCACTTTGGCAGTTGCAGTCCAAGATACATGTATCTGAGTTTACTGTTATGCTTTTATTTCTTTACTGTTAGTGATCTGCCTATCAGTGTTATAACATATAGTTTCTCTCATTAAAACATTACATTCACTCAGAAAACTAATTGTGTTGTAGGAACAATCTTGTCATCTTCTATAATTTTCCACTTCCCCCTTCTCATGACGGCGTCTTTTGGAGAGTGCTTCCATTTGTTCCACCAATATGTAACCCTATCTGGCTATAGAGGAGATTTGAGTACCTCAGTCTTATATTGAACAGCCCACTTGATTAACTGAACATTTGGATTTTTTTTATTTATTTTATTTTATTTTTTTAAACTGAAATGAATAGACTTTTTATGTTAATCAAATAGTTGGCATGCTCATATAGGAAGTGGGCAAAATTAGGAGAAAACTGAACGGTAGATACTATGCCCCCGTTTGGCTCTCATTATTTCAATTTTTAATTTTTGGAATAGTATTTTTTTTGAGAATATGTGGTTGAAAAAGAAAGAAAATTTATCGATTTACGAATAATATTATTTTATAGAAGATTGCTGGTTGAAAATAAGAGATAAAATTATAATTTAAAATAATGGGGGCTATAATTGGTAGAACTATTACAAGATGACGGTTGTGAGTGAGCTTTTATGTACATGATGTTATATTGCAATCTTGTAAAACTCCATGCTTTGTCTGGAGAAGGAATGATTTGGTAAATATAATATAACCATGGCATAAATATATTGGCTGACTCAAGTATTTAAGCTATTCCAGGTTGGTAGTAAAGGCTATACAAGGTAAACAAGGAGCCAAATGTATTCATGATAATTTTAAGTGCAAATAGTAGTCTTTTTATTCTATGCATGTATCCATTTTTTTCCTCTCTAGAGGTTGTTAGCAAATTCGTAAAGTCTCTCTAAAACTCTCTGATACCACTTGTGAAATTCCAGGAACGATATGATTCTCAAACTAAACGTTCTAGATTATTTATTAGTTTGACCTTATGTGCGGAATTTACAATTAAAAGCAACAAGTCACTTATTAATTATTTTTAGATGATTAAGCATACAAGTCCAGTTATCCTATGTTTGAATGCCCTAGTTTGTAATACTAGATATGTTGACGGAGAAACCCCTATTGGGTAAAAACTCTGAAACCGAGCCAGTTACCTCCATTATAGACAATGAGCCTTACAGTTAGATCTTGCCTAGCCAACTCCATTAGACTCCTCGATTTATTTCCTATGATCTCCAAGATCTACTGACTCTACCAACTTCCCGATCTTCTCCAAATGTATTTTCCAAGTGGAATTCCAAGAATAACCAACTCTTGTGCTTTTCCTGTGCTTGCAATCCATCTCTCCTAATGCCCAATTGGGAGAGTACCTTTCTTACGGTGTTAAGGAAGTAAGGTATTTTGGATTCAAGGATTTGGTGTTTTCCCAAATATGTGGTTGTATAATCTCAAGAACCAAAGGATTGAAATCAAGGTTTGAATGTGCTCTTGGATCTTCAAAGAATGATATGGAGAGGCAACACAATGAACAACCCTTTTGGACATTAATAGGGTAGGATATATATAGGGGAAAATATTTAGGATGAAAAGGGATTGAAAAACTAAGTCTTTGAAGCAAAATAGAATTCTGGTCGTCAATTTGTCACTCGAGTGATAGGCTAGCGACAGGCTGGGCAACAGCTGAGCAGTTGTCAATATTTTTATTATAACTTTCTCTCTCGATATCCGATTGAGGTGATTCAAAATGCGTTGGAAAATTAACTCAAAGGGCTACAATTCTTCTAGAATTAGCATTGTCCAAATTCTAATATTTTCTATAAGAAAAATGCATTGCAAGTTACGATCGAGAATTTGGAACATAATCTGTGCGGTTCTTTGATATCCTTTAGACTTCTAATTCTCCAATGATCATATGTGATCTCCTTGGACATCTTGAACTCTCTTCAAGGATTATATTATCAACTCCAACTCTATTTCTATAACTAGGACTCAGTAATTTAACTTTGATTGCAATATCTCAATTAACTCTTTGACTTTTACAACTCGTTTATATTAATCATTTTGTCTAAAGAATTTCCAATAAAATAGAAACCCAGCAAAATTAAATGTAATTTCCAAACAGTGTTTAGAGGTTTTAGAGGAATCCTAGCTGCTCATATGTTGGTAACTCTTTCTTGTGTCTCGAACTTTCTATTTTCACATGCTCAATATATTGCCATGATTGCTTTTCTAGTCATCTTTCCTGAGAAATAAAATATTTAATTCTCCACGACCCAAATTCTTCATAAGTTCTAACTAATAGCCCTTTGTTAATTAAATTTTGATGAATTGATTATTCGTCTCCCGTCGGGTATTTTTATCACATTACCTTACCTCCATCCTCGATTATGGTGGAGGGGGACAGTACGTGATAGATCCCTTTTCCCCGTTTAGTTTATTTTTTATTATTATATTTTTATTTGTTTTATTTTTTATTTTTTACTTTTACTTTCTTCATGTCTATAATTGGTTAAAATCATTACCTTTTTTCCAATTTGTGACACATGTTCCCGGATGATGATTCTTTTCCTTTTGTGTGATAAAAAACTTAAATTTGAAATGAACTTTACACGTGGCGAGTAACGAGACGAGGCCTATGTTTCCCCGTAGCCACTCTGGGACAACGATCCCCATCCTCAGGCCGTCTACTCGATAAGGCTGGGAATTCCCGCCCCATTTGGGGCAAGACCCACGGATATCAGGTTTAACGGAATGGAGTGGGGCCCGGAGGTATTGAGTTTAACAGATTTTTTCCATCTTAGTTTCATTTGATTTAGGCACCAACATATACATAAATTAAAATATATTCAGACTTCCAATTTGTTAATCAATACTATAAAACTCTTTTTTTCTCGAAGTGGTATCAGTTATTGGGCATTAGGATTATGTACTTCATTCATAAAGATTAGATTTGGTTCCTGGAAATTTTATTTATTATAAGAGATTATTAACCTATTGAATATTAATTATTAGAACGCTGATGTTTCCTCTCCTCTGAGTTGTTTATTAATTTGGTTTCGATGCTTTGTTGTCTTGACTTTCTTGTTGATTTGTTATGGAAGCAATCCCATATTGACATTGTAGATTTTTGTATGCTCACTCTCTCTATCATAGATTGTCATGTGCTTATGTTTCAGGCCAGATCGATATGTTGCATTATTTGGTGAATATTTATATGATCCTCTAAAATGGAGGTCCAGCATATCATTTGTTGATCAGCTGAGGGGATTTCAGGAACTCATCGATCAAGGAAAGGTAAATTTTCAATATTCTTGACATCAGCAGTTCCTGGTCATGCTTTTGAGCATTTTGTGAAGTAATTAACTGAATATAACGGAGCGCGACTTCTTAATAATTAAGGTCCTGTTTGTTAGCATTGTATTTGCTGAATCAATTTTTTTTAGACTACATTGAGCTGTTTGGTTAATATAACAAATCACTATCTACAAAATTCAACACAACTGATCTTTTTATCACTTTGTAATAAAAATTGAAATAATCAATAACTGGGTGATAATTCAACCAGACAATGCCAAAAGCACATCCATGAATAAAGTGCCAGGTAAGCCTAATTGTCATTGTTTTTGTGCATTTTGAGGCTTATTTTTATGATGGACTTCTAACATGATAACCATGGAGAGAGTGGGTGTAGTGACAACCTACACAACTGGACAAGAACTTTTAAGGATACAGTGAACATGTTTATAAATGCTAGAATCATCTAAAAAAATTTCTAAATAGAGAAACATCTAACGAAGCTGAGGCTACAGGTTATAGTTGGACCGGTCTAGTTCTATTCGATCCTGGAAAATGGAATGAACTGCTGTCAAAGAAACGATTTTTATCAATTTTACCTAACTTGTTTTGTCAATAAGATTTCTGTTTTACAGCGCTCAATTTTTTCAGGTACGCTACATCGGTGTTTCCAACGAAACTTCATATGGAGTAATGGAGTTTGTTCATGCTGCTAAAAATGAGGGACTACCAAAGATTGTCAGTATTCAGAACAACTACAGTTTACTAGTGAGGTGCAAGTTTGAAAGTAAGTGATCTGTTCACATTATTATTGAACTTCTTGACCAAATGTTAATTCTATCTTTAATTGATCTTTGTCCTGCTTAGCATTGTTTTTCAAAGAAGTTCCAATAATAGCTTGCAAAATCGAAAGAAGTTACAACAACAGATTAGCTTGCGAAATCGTTATCGTCTAGTATGTTATATTGAGATAAAAAATTCTACAATTTTCATAATTTACTGGAAACAATATAATTCCATAAACAAATGAATTATATTCACATGATAAAACATAATAATTAGTTTTCCATTTTGTAAAAAGAAAAATTGTATTTTCCTCTCATAGAGTTATTTGTGTTAAGACTAGTTCGTCTGGTAAGTTGTCTCATTATCAGCTTCCTCTCCTTTACTGTTTCTGTTGTTGAGCTATAACTTCTTAAATGAGTTCACTGCTCCACTCTTTCTCATTATACAGTTTCGTCGTCCTAAAAATTTAGCCCTTGTTTGAGCCCCATTCTTTTGAAAAAATGCATTCTTAAATAGTGTTTTGACATTATTTCAATCACACATTCTTCAATAAAAGAATACTACATGCAAATCTAAAATTTTTCCTTATTTTTTAGCTACACATTTCCATCAATACACCATTCAAAAATGCATTCTTATAAAAAGAATGGGGCTCAACAAGGGCTTAATCTCCATTAATGGGTATTGCACACCGCTCATCTCTATAGGGCTTTTTTTTGGCACAGAGCAGCAGACAAAGACCATATCCAGTCTGTCCAAGATATACACTAATTTATCATCAATCTTGTTACTGGTTTTGTTGAAAGGCTCGAAAGTAAAAACGTTGTCCTAAAGTCTCTTTTCTTCTCTTCAGTAACTTTAAGCCAAAATCAAGTGAACTCTTCCTTTCCTCTTTCTGTTTCTCTGCTGTCCCCCAGGAACAAAGAAAAGGCTGACTTCGTTTGTTTCATTATTTTTCCTACCAAAGAAGGGTCACTTTCTTTTCTGCCTTTTTCGTTCTCCTTTCTAATTACACATTCCACGGCACGTCTTCACAACTTGCTGCTTTACAATTGATTGGAGAATGATCTTTAAGGGAATTGATGTTTGACTGTTTATTTTCGTTACGCCTTCTGTAGGGTTTATACTCTCATCTCTTTAGTTTAATACAACTTTTTGTAATTTAGTGCTATACCCTTATTTCCTTAGAAGGGAAAGGAAAGTTTGTTTTGCAATACCACTTCCCTTTCACTTCCATGTATTTAAATTCCAACCAAACAATTGGACATGTAATCTTTGCTTACTTCTACACTCCCAATTATCACCTCCATGGAACCAAGACTAGTTTTTAGCAAGGATGGTTTATTTTGTTGCTGTCACTACTTAAAGTAATGTTATTTCGTCCAATCTGAAATATATACTTATTTCTAACTCACTTCCAAATTTCACTTTAATTGTTGGCTCCACTCCTTTTTCTACAATGTATCCATCTTCATTATTCATTTTATTTAATGTTATTACTTCAGATTACTTTTGTAATTTGTTGCCACTTTATCCGCCTAGAGCAAATAAAAATATAAAATGCCCTTAATCAAATACCAGTACAGAAATTGAGAAATATCATTCTGAATTTGACCATCAACTGGCCTTACTTCCTAGTTTAATTTGTTTTCAATTGAATCTGTGCAGTTGATCTTGTCGAAGTATGCCACCCGAACAACTGCAATATTGGCTTGCTTGCTTATTCTCCACTGGCCGGTGGATCACTGACAGGAAAGTATTTAGAAATTGATTCTGAAGCTGCACGAAAAGGAAGGTTTAACTTATTCCCTGGCTACATGGAAAGATACAATAAGTCTGATTCTAAGGTACAAGTTACTATTGTTATTGAAAGCTGGAGATTCAACTGATTAATACATTAATTGCTTTCTTAACCTAAGAATATAAATTTTATATGCAACCTCTCCCAATGGTAATGCTCATGCCTTAAATTTTTTGACTTACGAAAAACACTTCATATCTCAAGGCAAAAATATATAAGCTTGTATTTTCATCTCGTGTTATTTTTTATTAGGCGCTAGCTTAGCAATTGCATGTTCACGTCCCAGTAGTCTCTGAGTCGTGACACATTAACATTGATGCAACTATATTTGTAATTGAGGCTTGCAGAATTGGACATTTGACTGCCAAATCAATGATCATGTACAGCTGGGCCAAGTTTCGTCTCATTTTCCATGCAATCTCGTAATTAAGAAAAAGAAAAAAAAAAATCATCCACAACTCTTCTAGTTCAGCATTGCATGTCATCAGCATTTTAAACTTCATATTTCGGAAAATAATGCATATAAAGGAGATTCTTCGCGGAGAGGAAAGATGGAAACTTTTTGGTTGTCAGCTCTTCATAAATTATGCCATGATCGATGAATTGCTAGAACAATGTGCTAATACTTGTTTCTCACGACTTTGTGGAGCACAAAAACTGCTTTTAATTTACTTTTCTGCAGTATAATATTATACGCTATGCAATATTTATCTGGAACATAATACATTTTCCATTTCTTTTGTTTCAATGCTCTATTTGTCTTACCAATGATCAAATCTCCAACAGGGTACTAAATTTCTTACTCAGGCTGATACATTCATCTTTGCATTTCAGGAAGTAACAAAACAGTATCTTGAAGTGGCCAAGAAACACGGTCTAACCCTAGTCGAGCTAGCTCTTGGATTTACACGAGACCGTTCATTTATGACGAGCACAATCATAGGTGCAACTTCTCTTGACCAATTAAAAGAAGACATCAATGCATTTTTGTCTACTCAGAGGCCATTGCCACCGCAGGTGATGGCAGATGTCGAAAATGTGTTCAAGAGATACAAAGATCCAGCCATCGACTAGGATCCCAAGTTTCATAGAGTGAATTCTTGATGGTGTTATTCAAAAAATTTCGTGATAATTCTCCTTTTGTTCTTGCATTAGTTAATAATGAACTTCGTAAAAGGACATCATACATATTAGAAAGCTCGTTTTCTATTTGGAGTATCAAGAGGGTTCCCCTAATTCTATATTTTATATCCCTGTTTTTGTTAAAGCATACTAAAAGACTGTTGTGATATTCTCCATGATCCTTTCTCGATTATCTATTTTCATTTTCATAATGTTTCGTTTGCAAAATTAGTTTATAGCAAATTCTCTGGTGCGTTTAATTGTTTATTGAAATGCCCAGAAAACAAGAATATAAGTATCTAATAAAAAACTCTTCAAATGCGAATAAACTAAAAATGACGGAAAAAAAAAATGAACGCAGGATTTGTTTCGGCCAAAGTTTCAGAGGTTCAGTGATTGCTTCTAATATCTAGTCCCATGTCAACCATCTATGTAAACTGAATAATGCTCAATTGCACTGTAAGGTTAAAAACGGCAACCAAGATTATAATTAGTTTCCGAAGTACAGAGATAAGTTCACAAAGGAACTTCATTCTATTAATATATTTCACCAAGGAATCAAATAATTTTTCTAGAGAGGAAGAAAACCCTAATTGAAGGGGTTGAAAATCCCTCAAAAACGACAAGCCGGATGAAACTGAATGAATGCCAAAAAGCCAGAGGGGATTTAACCCTCGGAATAATCCAAAAGCCAATCAGATGGCAACGAGTGTGCCAGGTGTAACAATCTAGTTAATTCCACCCATTAAAAGAGTTGCATTTCACAAAATGAGACTTTGTCAATTTTGGAAGCACACTTTAACACAATGCACATCACAACTCGTAACAATCTCCATCTTACCCCCCAAGAATTGGGCTCATAGTGCAACCAAAAGTATTACAAGCAATTTTTATTTTAAATTCAAAACTTTTTTATTTTTAACCATACGTTTTCCAAAAAATCACTATTCCAAAATACATTTTTCTCTAAATTCTTATTAAAATGGAGCCTAAACTAGGGTTTAATTCACTAAATCAACAGGTAACAACTTCAAGCAATTGTTAAATTTACTTACAGTATTACTTTTGTTCCCTTATCAAATTATTATTATTATTATTATTATTATTATTATTATTATTATTATTAATTTTTTTTATTTATTTTTGCAATTTTTCCAATTTTAAGTATTCCTTAGATGTAATATCCCTTATAAAATGATATTTAATATCAGTATATTCTATTTTATCATGAAATATGGGGTTTTTGCTCAAATAAATTGCACTTTGGTTATCAAAAAATAGAACAACGTTTTCATTAATGAAACCAACTTCTTTTAGTAAATCACTTAACCAAATACCTTCTTTTATAGCATCAGTGGCGTCAATGTATTCCACTTTTGTTGAAGACGGAGCAATTATGGTTTGAAGTTGAGATTTCTAACTTATCACAGTTCCACATATAATATATATATATTAAAAGGATAAAATTGATCTCTTATTATCTCTATCTTCAGCAAAATTAGAATTAATGTACCCTTTTAAGCCCTCATTTTTTGAAATGAAAATGGGTGGAATAGTATTTTTTTTTTTAAATGAGTAGTTGAAAAAGAAGGAAAATTTCTCGATTTACGGTTAACATAACATCATTGTATTGAAAATTGTGTGTTTGAAAATAGGAGAAAGAAAAATGAAATAGAATTTAATGGGGCTAAAGTTATCACCACTTTATTCTATCTAAACACTATGCCCAAATTTGAAGTACCCTTAAAAGTATTTTAACAACCATCTTAAAGCATTCTAGTGATCTTTCTCTAGGTTACCCTAATACACATCATTAGTCACATCACATATCAATAATATTTGCATATAGAATTTTAGACATTTTGTTAAATTCTCTCTTAGTTTTAGGACAAAAAACAGAGGACAATTTTAAATGATTAGCAAGAGGTAAAGTCACAAGTTTACACTCGAACATTCCAAATTTTCTTAAAATTTTATCTACATAACCATGTTGATTCAAGAACCGTAAATCGTTTCTTTTATCTCTTGTACTCTACAACCTAGAATCTTTTTGGCAGAGCCAAAATTTTTCTTTTCAGGTTCCAATTTAACCTTTTGTCTAATATCATCTATTTCTGATTTATCAAAACTGGCCGGAAGCATATCATCGACTTAGAGGACCAATTATAAAGGATTTTTACCTCCATTATCTTTACAGTATAGACAAGTATCACGATTGCTTATTTGAAAATCAAGCTTCAAGACAAAAGAATATGATCTTTTATATCATTGTCTTGGAGCTTATTTCAAGTCACACAATAATTTTTTCAGCAAACACATTTTTATCACTATCACCTTTAACAAAGCCTATTTGTTGTTTCATGTATATCAGCTCATCCAATTCACCATATAAGAAATCAGTTTTTACATTTAATTGGTCAAGTTTCCATCTGAATTGAGCAACTAGTGCAAGAATGCATCTAATAGTAGTGTATTTAACTATAAGAGAGAAAAGATCTCATTCTAGTCTGCACATTGTTTTTGTGTAAAGCCTTCAACAATAAGTCTAGTTTTGTATCTAACATTTTCCTTGCCCCCTCCCCCTTCATTTATTTTATAGATTCATTTGCAATCAATCAGTTTATGATTCTTAGGCCTTTTAACTAATTTTCAAGTTTTGTTTTTATGAAGAAAATCTATTTTTTCTTCAATAGCAGCTAATTATTTCTTAGAATCTTCACATTTAATAGTATCATCTTAGGAGTTCGGTTCATTTTAACTCTTTTCTTGAAAAGAGAATAGAGAACAAAATCATCACTATCAAACTTGGCAGGAGGTTTGATCTGCCTTCTCTCTCTATCTCTTGTAAGTTGATACTCGTCAAAAGGCAGAGTTACAATTCAATTTGGAAATCTAGATTAGTTTGCTAACCAACTTCAATTTTCTCTAAAGGTACATCATCAATCTGATCAAAATCTTCATCTGCAGGAACAATATTAATCCTTTTTAAGTGAGGTGTCTCCACTTTAATTTGAACATCCTTTTCAAGTTTTCAGCCTTTCCTTTCAAACCTATCATAAGGGGTTCATTGAAAATAACATACTTTCTTATTATGACTCTAAAACCCATTTCTTCTTTATCCCATAGCCTATATCCTTTTACATTCTTACCCTAGCTCAAGAAAATGACATTTAAGTGATCTGGGTTCTAATTTTCCTATGTTTCAATAAGCATATACACAACCAATATTTACAAATGATAATAATCAATAAGCTTTTGAGTCCATACAAATTCAAGCACATTGAAATTTAAGGCAGTGGTATGACTTTTGTTAACTAGATAGGTAAGTCATAACTCATCAACATGCACCTCACTTTATTTAATAAAGTCCTATTAGTCTTTCAACAATGTCATTTTGTTGACGTGTATATGTTACAGTTCTATGTCTCAAACTACCATGTATCTTACAAAAATTAATGAATTCGTAATTAAAAAGTTCTAAATCAGTATCAGTCCATAAGGCTTTTATCTTATGATCAATTTGATTTTCTATTTCAGTTTTCCAAACTTTAAAAAAGTGAAAGTTTCATCTTTAGTTTTTATTTAAAACACCCATGTTTTTCTTGAAAAAATCATCAATGATAAAAAAATAATACTAACCAGATTAAGTAATCACATAAGAAGGACCCCACAAATTAGCACGCAGGTATTCTAATAATTGTTTAGATTTATGAATTCAAGAAAGAACATGTAACTTAACTTGTTTTCCAATCATACATTAAAGCAAATTCACCAATATTAATTTTTCCAAAAGCTCCTAGATTTGGTAAAGATTTTAAACTTTTCTTTCCAATGTTACCAAGTCTATCATGCCACAGTTTTGTAAGGATAAACTTTTCATTTAAAATAGCTGTTATTAGGCCAAACAAAGATTTTGCTTCAAGGAAATTAAGATCATATCTCTTTGGGGATACTGACTAAGTCACAGCCCCTAAAGATTTTAATGTGTCCCCAACCCAATTTTATGTCAAACTCCTTGTAACCTAGCATATCTAGAGATGTTGAGTTTCTTTCAAGTCCAGGTACAAATCTAGTGTTCTTTAGATGTAGAATATTTCCATTTTCAAGTAACAATTTGATTGTTCATATTTCACTTACTTTACATGTCACATTATTTCTAGGGCTGTCAATGGATTAAATTTTGATCTGAATCCGATAAAATTAATTTTAGATGGGTTTAGGGTTTCAATTCGATAACCCAATTGAGATCCGAATCTGATAATTCATTAATTAAATGAATGTGAATATAGGTCAATCCGATTCGATAACAACCTGATTCGATTGATTACAGTAATATATTAAATTTTTTATATTATCACATAATTTATGACACTGTTTTTTCCATTTTAAAAATTGTATTATACTTTACACATAATTTTTAAATAATTAATAGTATTAAATAATAGTATGATATTTTTAATTGAAATTTTTGAAGAGATTTAATTTTTTCGTTAATTAAAATAAGATAAAACTAATAATTAATTCATGGATTAGATTTACTATAGTAATTTGTTTTATAACATAAAAAAACTAATAATTAATACGTCCAAAATAATTTACGTTGTTCAAATTGATATCGTTTATAATTAAAATCTTATCGAGACTATGATTTTTAATGAAAATAATAAAGTAAACTAGTAAACATTTAGAATTGATAAATGATTATGATTATTATCCTACATTGAAAGATCACTAAATCATTGGAAGAGGATAATCCTTTAAAAAGCTAGTATCCCACATTCAAATATTACTAAAACATTCTAAGAGGAGTCTCTTTTAAAAAGGAGTTAAAAGGAGTATCATTAAGATAAAAAAAAAATGATTTGGGAGTACTAATATATAATAAGTGAGCCCATCAAGATAGTTCAAATATTTTTTTAAAAAAAATTAATTAAAATCTTGTTGAGTCTATAATTTTTAATGAAAAATAAATAAAATTTTGATTTTTCTAATTTTTTTAATTTTGGATCGGATATCCGATAACACAGCTAATTGGATTTGGATTTAACATTCAAATATTCGTCGAATTATCGGATCGGATCAGATCGAATTTGAGTAGATCCAATCCATATCTGATCCATAGACAACCCTAATTATTTCTCAATATAACCTATCCCCTATTAGGTTTTTTCAAAATCTAGAAATCAATTTTTA